TCCTACTACTACTACTACTACTACTACTACTACTACTACTACTACTACTACTACTACTAGTCTGCATCCTTCATACATCATTGTGCTTGCACCGTTGCACATATGTTCGTCACCAACCTAATCATCAATATATCCATCATTTCCATGATCAAATTGCAACCGATCATCATAATTTGGTCATTACCTTTTTCGGAAGTGATGATCATTAGCGAATGACGAATTTTTTCTAATAATAAATTACCCTCCTTATCCTCAGCATGCATGCAAGAACAGCAGTGGAAGAGAACAACCAAGAACAGCCATGGAAGAGAACCACCCTTCCTGACTTGCTGGAGGAAAAGGAATTGCATGGAGCCAGGCCCATAAGCACCTGTTTTTTTTATTAAAAAAAAAAGAAAAAAAAAGAGCACCCTTCTTTGTTGGAGAGCCAAGCCCTTTACAAGATCACCCTTCTTATTAAGTTCTTAATTTCACTTACCTTATGGCCAACTTTGGGATTCCATCTGCTGAATGTCATGTGAAGGGTAGAAGAATCATATTGCATGAATTTAGATCTAAGTCATTGTGTTCTTTGTGTGACTCACAGGAAACTTGATAATGAACTCATCTTGCACGCTAGAAGCACAAATTTTTAGCCCGACATAATCGGTGGCATTCTTGAACACTCCGAGATTCCACTACCACATGCCAAAAACTCTGTGCAGTGCAACATCCAAAACAAACACACCGATCTGACGTGACAGAGACCACAAAAGCCAAGACAAAAGAAAAACCAAGAGTCTCAGAACATGAGAGATGATTATGGTGCACAAGGAGGGAAGAGCATTTACGGAAGTTAATCCGCGTATCGCAATGTGAAAAGGATATGTAAGCATTGTTCGCCTGAGCGGGGTAGAAAGTGTGGCCGCTGACGTGTCCAACCAGGGAAGGGAAGGGGCTTCCACTCGCAAAGACAACCTTCTCGTCCGTCCACGCCATTGCATCCACGTACGTGCACTCCGCCTTCGAAGTGGGGTTCGAGAGAGGGAAGACGATCGGCCGTTCATTGATATCTGCCATCAAACGGACGATCTCCTCCGTGAAAGCTCCAGCTATGGTGGAGACGCCAATAATCGCGGTCGGACGAATGGCCTTTACCGCTTCCAGCAACGACGGCTGGAAGGGGATATCGTGGGCGAAAGCCACTTTGTGTGCCTGGAGATCCGTTCTCGACTTGCAGACGAGTCCCTTGGAGTCTACGTAGAAGCAGTGTTTCCTTGCCTCTTCGATTGACAAGCCGTGTTTCTGCACCATAGCCATAGCGATGAGATCGCCGATCCCGACCCCAGCCTCTCCGGCTCCCAAAAACAAGACCTTCTGCTGGTCCAGTGGCCGGCCGGTGACACGCAGACCGGCCACGAGTCCAGCGAGGACCACGCACGCCGTCCCCTGAATGTCGTCGTTGAAGCTGCAGTAGTCCGGACGGTACCTGTCGAGCAATCTGAAGGCGTTGCAGTTTCCAAAGTCCTCAAACTGAAGGAGCAGGTGGGGCTGCCACTCGTACAAAGCGGTCACAAACTCGTGAACCAGCTCGTCGTACGCAGGACCCCGGAGGCGCTTCTCGCGCAAACCCTTGTACTCGGGATCCTCCAGGAGAGTTTCCCGATTGGTCCCGACGTCCAACGTCACCGGCAAGCAATTGCTGGGATTGACGCCTGCCATAGCCGTGTAGAGCAAGATCTTGCCTTCACTAATACCCATACCGCCAGCGCCTTGGTCTGGAAACAATGCCAAAGATGGAGAAAGAGACAGAAAGCCAAATTTAAAACCAAAACTTTCGAGTGAAACTGAATAACATAAACAGAGGCATGATAGTCTATCAAAGAAAAGACCCACCGGCAGGACTTCTTTGCAAGGTTGCAGACCCCCCGGAAGGACTTCTTTGCAAGGTTGGACACATTTTATGATTTTAACACGAAGTTTGATTCAAGAGTATACAATTAGGTCATGTGCTTCCGGACACCCGTTAAGATCGGAACAATACAGAGAATCGATTGCGTGGCCCCAGGGCCTGCACAAGGGTGGCATCATGGCACCCATAACTCGTGAAAATGTTGCAAAATCATGCCAAAATTGAAAAAAAAGTTAAAAAAACAACACGAAGAGAGAGAGAGAGAGAAAAAGAAAATGAAGCTCAACATCGACTCAATTGTGTCTTCCTCGATTCAGTAATAAAGCTGAACATCGACCTGGTACTCGACATCGATTTAAAAAAAGTTGTCTTCCTCGATTCAGTAACAAAGCTCGACATCCACCTGGTACTCAACATCTATTAAAAAAAAGCTTATCCTACCTTCTGTCCTTCTGTCTTCTTCAATTCAACAATAAAACTGAACATCAACCTGGTACTCGACATCGGAAAAAAAGAAAAAAGAAAAAAAAAAAAAAAAAAAAAGATTTCACTTGTGGAAAAGTTCCAAGTTCTACGATAGCCATAGAACACCCCCCCCATGTGGTAATGAGGGGGTTGTCCTCATTGGAAGAAAACTACGACCCTAATAATTGATAGTTAAGCCCAGATAAGAAAACAGATATAATCCAAAGATTCAAGACATTCAAACTAGGAAGAGGTAACCTAGGCACAATAAAAGAAAACAGACTGGTCATGAGAAATTGGCTAACAATACCACCTCCGCACTCCCATAGACCACAACGCCAGCACAGACCCGCCCTAACCAACACAACGCCAACAAACCCCATTGGACTGCAAGTCAGGACCAAAGATAACATATGAGTAACAGGAATCCCTAAACCAGGTAAAGCCACAGAAGTCATAGCCCCCCGTAAAACTAACACTCCGACCAACAAACCGCCCAACCCATTCGCCTCCCTCACGTCACCATCTACCCTCCCTCCCCTCGAAAGCCCTCACCAAACACCATCGCCAATCTCACTACTCACAAACCCCACTAACCCACATCGAATACCTCCCCCCCCTGCACTAAGCAATCAGCCCCTGAATCTATAATCCTTTCTTCCCATAACCCCCAACTTCTACCCCTCAGAAAACACATCCATAGCCACTGTTTGCAGCAATAAAACACAAGGATAAAAGAGGCCATTTCGGCTAACTTGAGACAGAAAACAGGGACAAAAGGAGACATGGTAAGCGACGTAATTTTTGGGCGCTAGCCCTAAGCAGAAGAACAGAGACAGAAAAGAACCCTTTTTCACAGCAACTACAGAGCCAGAGTCTTAGGGTTTAGGGTTTTAGAAAGTCAGACAGCATTAGACCTTCCAAGTAACCCCAGTACGCAAAGCAAAGGATGACAGTCACAGGGCTGGGAAGAACAAGTAGGACCAGGCTACAAGGGATGATAGGCATCTGCTCAAAGATAGAAGACCTGGCAGACAAAGTACGACCCAACTCAAACACAGATAGGCTAACTTAGGCAGGGGTGAGGGGTGGTGGCACATCCTTCCAAATGGAAGTAATCAATGCTGTCCATTTGGAGCACTGGTGACGGCCTCTCAACCATAATGAGGAGGAGCGTGTGCGAGTAAGTGTTGTAAATCCTTTTGACTTGAAGGTGGAATAGGAACCGGACTGATGCTCCCCAGAATGGAACGGAGCCAGAGCCGTAAGGTTCTGTTTTCTTGAAAAACAGAAAAAAAAAAAAAAAGTTCTAAGATAGCTACAACTGTAACGGCAATGTTGGTCTTCTAGCCGCAAACGCAAAGCTATGTGTCCAAAACTTCAGTGCTGCTCTCACAGCTCTGCAAGTTCTACAGCTTGTGCAGGGGCCAGTCGGGTTGCAGCCAGGCCCGCCCTATAACTACATTCCCGCCATGCAGTCAAATGCATCTCCTTTTTTTGCTTGATATTAAAGCAGCTATTAAAGCAACTTTTGTGCAAGAGAGAGAGAGAGAGAGAGAGAGAGAGAGAGAGAGAGAGAGAGAGAGAGAGAGAGAGAGAGAGAGAGAGAGA